ATGGTCATTAAGAATACAGACAGATTTATGGAAACGTGCGCATATCGGGATAACACGCATACGGACCAGATATTAAACTACCACAGCAACCACCTGATGAATCACAAGAAGAGCTGCATTCAAACCCTGTTCAAAAGAGCGGAAACACACTGTAGCACAGCCGAATGGCGGTAACAGGAAGGAAATCACCTATATCGAGTGTTTAGAACCCACTGTTATCTGAGCAATTTTAGCAGAAGAAGCTTAGAGAAACGAATGCCTTGGCAACAGCAGCAGCAGTCATCTGATCAAGCAGACAAGCGGATAGTACTCCTCTACATCAAGAACCTCTCCGAATTAACAGGAAGATTGCTACAGTCAAATGGAATCTCTGTGTCTCACAAACTTAGTGCCATCCTAAGGAAATTGATCTCAAAACCCAAAGGAAAACTCAATCAAGCCGACCAATGCCATGTCATATACCAGATAAAATGCAGCGACTGTGATAAAAACTACGTCGGGCAAACTGGAAGAAAGTTTTGTATATAATCACCGAACACAACGCGGTCGTCAGAAGGCATGATCCGCACACATTGGTTTCTGCGCATTAAGGTTAAGCAGGCCACCATTTCGACCTGAAAAGGTAAACATTCTGGCATATGGAAGCAACATGCACGCGAGGGAGTTTTGGAAGCATGGTACTCTATAACGAATTCAAGCAATCGACCCATCGAACTAGAAGCAGTATACGCCACACTACTGATGAATGAACACTAACTTGATCGATTGAATCCGGTGGAACGTGCGACTAGACAACCAGAACTGACGGCAGAATCGTCCGCAAGAGCAAGCAGACAATGGCCACGAAACCTAAGGAGGCGAGGTCAAAGGTCACCCGCCTATCAACCAACCTGAACGCGAATAGAAGTCCCAACCAACAGGATTGCTCGGCTCCACGGCCAACGACGACGGTATAAAAACGCACGCACACCACGCTTGGCGCACTCTCACCGAGGCTCCTCTACGCTATTCTACGCTACTGCACGCCACTCAACTATGCACTGATGATGCCACCTCGATTGGTAACGAAACGTTTGCCACGAAATCGCCAAGCTTAGTGAACAGTTCAACTGCCATCAAGGCATTCATATCAGTATTTCAAAAGCTACATAGCACAGCCTAGTCCAGAAAAGCACCAGACGCGTTACGCTCTATTGGGGCTCGTCAGTGGTGCGCATTTCCTCGGTCGCCTACTGGTGATCGAAATCATGACTGCTAGAGGCAGATGCCAACTAGCCACCCGCTTAAGCCACTGAGCCGTTGGACGTTGGCTGAGCTACCTACTTTGCAAGCTAACTGGTATATAACACCATATATTCAGTGATACTCTGTCGAATGCAACACTAGTTTTCATAACACCTATTTAGAACATATGTCAAGGATTGTTTATTTACTGATCTACTTATGGTGTCTCGTGTGCAACTGCATAGACCGGAAACTAACTAACTACCGGATAATCGCTTAACCGAGACTAACAAAATAACGGTAGCATATCAGTACTTTGTGCTAATGCTTTGTTGCGATAAAGCGATGAGAATCAAGACAATGATAAATAACGAAATGAAGAAAAGCATTTGCTACAAACATAAATTTTTAAAGAAAACACTTGAAACAGGCAGCATAAACGAGAAAAATACGGTATTTAAGTAGATAATGTGGAAGTAGGTTGAAATTTTCTTTGACATTTGTGCTCCCCTCACTCAACGAAAAATCCACGCGTCGTTCTTGGTGATACGGTTAAAATAAGTCTAATTTACACCATTAAGTCGCGACACTACCTTAAAACCGTGCAAACCTGCGCACTACAAAGACCTATTGAGTTGTGCTCGGTGTGTCTTACACCTTTAAATCAACTGATGTCAAATCTGTAAATGGTTAGAGGTCAGAAAAACAGTCACTTGGACCTGGAAGTTGGGGGATGGAGTAAAGACAACACCTTCTTCCTTAGAAAGGACAGTTTGTAATCCACTGCAAAACTTATGTCGCCTTGCAAACAGGATTTCAGACAACATGTTTTCCTTAGGAACCATTCTCGTTTTCTGCTAGCATCCTATCCATGTACTACAAAGAACTCGTAAGCAAACGAATTCGATGGTCTACCTCGGGTAGCGAGCCAACTGAAGTGGTCTCTATCACAAGCTGCATCTGTGGAAGATTGTTGGAAAATTATAAAAGAGATGTTGAGTTCATTGTTTTCCTAATTTGTGCCCTTAAAATCTCGGAAGGTTGGACCAATTAAGCCTCATTGGTTTGGCAAGGAGTATGGAAAGCTGGCTCGGAGGAAGTGTAGACTGTAGGAAAATTCCTCCTCTCTGGTTCTGCCAATGACTACGAAACGTATGAAAGTCGGCTAATTAAACAACTGAAGGCAAAATTCTCTGACACCTATTTTGGCAAAGGTTGCTGAGAAAATCGTGAAGATGAGATTGCTGCAGTTGCCACACCCAAAAAGGTCCTGACGCCTGTACAGCACGGTTTTATGCAAGGCCGCTCATGCGCTACAAACTTGCTTGTGACGAGGCATGAGTTAATGAATGCAGTAAACTAGGGGAAGTCTGTCGACATGGTATTCATCGATTTCAGTAAAGCGTTCGGCAAGGTCAGACATGAGATTCTCTTTCACAAACTCAGGATGTGTGGTGTCGGTGACTCACTGCACCGGGGCATCCGCGACCTTCCTGTTGGAAGAAAGTGGAGGGTACAAGCCGGCGACCATCTAACTGACTGGTATCACTCTACAAGTGGCGTGCCTCAAGGCACTGTGCTGGGGCCCACTCTGTTCCTGATCCACATTTAACGATCTACCTTAGCTTCTCCGGTCGCTGAGTGCCTTGTTTGCGGAAGACATAAAGGTGTGGAGAGAAATTGACGCTCCTGACGAATGTGGCCTACTTCAGAAAGACAACCGCCTATCCATATGGTCTGCAGCAGTTCGTCTCCGGTCAACCCTGTCAAGCCGGTATTTATGAGCTTGGGGAAGGGTGCTGACGGCCACACCTACACCCTTGACGGCCAACCGCCTTATCCCACACCCTCCGTGAAGGACCTAAGTGTACCCTCGCGCTACGATTTGAAGTTCGTGGACAACACGAACAGCCTAATTCGTAACGGACTGCGCATAGATTGGGCGCTCAAACGTAACTTCGGCACATGGTCTGAAGAGGTTGCCACTATCCTCTTCTCATGCATCATTTGACCAATGCTAAAGTACGGTTCACCCGCCTATTTTCCGATTACCCGAGGCGATGCACAAAAGATCGAACGGGTCTAACACGTTTCTACCAGGTTCATCCCGAGTTTACTTGGCCTGCGGTATGAAGACAGGGTGCGAAAAACTAGGACTCTATAATTGTCCTACCGACTGGTGCGAGTCGATCTCATTATGACCTACCGTATTCTACATCACGGTGACTTCCCCATGCTGAGGCCAATGCTGCAATTACGAAGGCCATTCAGCACACGCGGACACAGACAAAAACTTGTCGTATCATGCATGTGAAACGTATTCCCCACCCACAGCGCTTCGAACAGAGAGTGGTAAATATTTGGAACAGTTTGCCTGAACATGTAATGGAGACAAGCACTGTGCAGCAGTTCAAAATGTTGTTAGGTTTATATTTTACCACTATTCGATTCAGAGAACGATTGCACAATTACGATGACATGTCACATTTGTGAGTCCTGCAATATCGTGAGTCAGATATTTTAAATGTTACATGAGAACGATCATGATATTCACGGCTGACAATTTTTATAACGTTTTGTACCATACTTTTACGTATTCTATACACAGAATTCAGTATTCAAACATGTTCTACTTCACTGGGATGTAGATGAGAATAATCGACGACGTCTCACCTGTTGCACCGAGCGGAGTGAGAAGAGAAAGGTCTTGCTGCCCAGGTCTTTCCGTCATGAGGTTCTTCATCATACGCCTTGCAATTCTATCGCCCTGTCCCAGCTTCATTTCCATCCATCCCCTCCTAAACTCCAAATTTTTTGCCATCTCTCATCTCTCATCTTGATTTGACTAGTGACTCAAAGACAGTCGCAAAGCATCATTCTCGCCCCGTCACCGATTTTATGTTTGAGTAATTTTCTCGATAAACGGAAACTTAATCCGGGCCACAAACATTTTGAAGTATGTGGAGGCTAAATTCACCCAAACCTCTTTGGAGCCCCTAATCAACGCTAAGACTGGAAAATTTCAAAGGATGCACTTTGTTGCAAGCCACATTCGCAAGAAAATTAAAACCCTATCGACCGATATATGTTGTTTATCCGAGAACCGCTAGAACACTCGTGACATGTACATACTTTGGGATCCTCTTCATGCGACAATGGCAGTATACTATCGTTTCGCCCATCCTAAGGTAATGCAGTCTCAAATTTCGACCCAGCCGGTGTAGGTACATATCCACCTACTGCTGTTTAAATGGTTGGATGGCATACGGGCCATTAAATACAGCCGTAAGTGGCGCTCGATGCGCAAACCATACTATTGTTCAAAATAAACAGCTCATCAGTCCCTGTACAATAGGGTTGTATCACATTTCACGGGACGGAAATGTAGCACCGCTAATAAAAATTTTGTAGGTTTGATTTAATATATCTAGGTTATTAGTTCCACGGCAGTAAGGAAGTGTTCCATTACTGCTTTCGGTCCAGAAGGTGCACACCGCATGGAGGATCTGGATTAATCACTATAAAATAAGTCAGCAGCTTATAGAGCGATTCGAAGACACATTTGTTGCAATATCAACACATAAGCAAGATGATATATATATATATATATATGGGTTAACATACTGACATTATTCACAGCGGAACGCAAAACTGAAATTTGAAGAGGAAGGCATGCAACATTACAAATACCTTAATACTACGCTGGATTGAGGTAGAGATGATTAAACTAGATTAAATACGAACACTTTGATCTAGCGTTCCGGTTAATAACTCACTTGGCCTGAGTTAGGAAAATAAATGGATGAAGCTCCGGCAGCTCGGCGGATGGGATCAGCTGGGCGCCTCAGGGGGTCCAAAGAGAGCAGGATGATGTACTCTCTCGCAAGAGATAGAAGTATTTACAAGTGTGTTCACCATGGACCGCCGTTGTGAAAAAGTTGGATACGACTGAGTCATTTCGGATTGCGAAAATCCAGGTCCACTAACATCAGTTAAGACTATATCAGTCTCCTCACCTATGTGCTGTGCTTCACTTGAAATATCACTTCTAGTTCGCTTTGGTTGACCGCAAGTGTCTGAGTCTCGAGCATAGTTCAAATTAATTAAATCCGACGTTCTCGAAAGCCGCGAATTTCTTGTTTCGTGACCAGCTGACCCTATTCTAGGCCAGCTCGGACTTGAGGGTAGGCACTGGTTGTTTTGTGGCGGCTCAGTACACACATAATGCTTTCCGGAAAAATATGTCGGACTCGGCGCAAACATTGCGTTCAAAGACTCTCTTGATCCATGCGCCTCTAGCTCACTAGCTGGTAGTTCAGCGAACAGATTTCGCTTCTCGCAAAAAGCCGCCTTTGTCCGTTTCTCTTCAAGAGGTAAAGGGGTTGATGGATTCTTCTCGTGTTGAATTGGGTCAGCACGTTCCATGTGCCCACCGGCTTCCGTTAATGACTCGCTGAGGACACTCTTATCCATAACAGATTGATTTAAAACAGGAAATTCGCCTGAATGACGCGACTGGTGTAACTTAGGCCAGTTAAACATGCTTCCAAGTTGCTCTGTATATTTTGGTAGTAGGTCAACGTTACCGCCAGTAGAAAACCGTTTTTCTGACTCGTTTGGTCTCGCAGATTGTGGTGCACTTGCACGCCTGGACTCAGACGAACGGAGACGAAAAATTCTCCGTCCAATATGCTTATGCTTGGGTAGATGCAAATTCAAAATGTGTGTTTCGTGTGTGTGGCGCTTTTCGGCCGAAAAGAGGGGAACAGTTGGTGTTCTTTGCTGTAAGGAAAGAAATCGTTAGGGAATTGAGCTATCGAGTAGAATAGACACATGTGAGGGACGAATTACTAAACGTAAAAATGGTACCGCTAATCTGCCTACCTGGTTAAATATCTAATCAGCTATTCCAGCTTATTGCTGTAAGAATGCAACGATAAAACAGGAATGCAATAACAGTGGCAACTTTCAACTACTGCACGAGTGGAAATGTTGGAGGGTATAGAAAACCACAGGTAACCAACAAATAACTTAATAAACATTTATTCTCGACGATTCGAGACATGTCTATGTTGGCATGATCGGGTAAATGCATACTTTATGGAACAATGACCACAGGTGAATCAGGAAAATTGCATATCAGATCAGATAATGACGATTAGAAGGAAAAGGAAGAGAGAATAAATAGCTGACTGAATTGTAATGATGTTGAATGGCTTTTAACCGTTCACTCACAACTAAACCACGGGAGAGAGGATGATGGTTAGACCTGCACTGGGTCATTTGATACCTGGAACCTGCCCGTACGCTTGGTTTGTTGTTATGGAACAAGCATAAGTTTGATCACGTTCTGTACTGATAAGAACTTGCTGATGCATTTCCGAAATTCGTGTTCAAGAGTTCAGGCACGTATTCCGGGTGATAGCTTGTTCTGGGCGAAATTTTTGAGGAAAAGCTTGACAGACCTGCTGATCCTGGACATGCATTCTGTTTGTTTCGTGTGTTGTAGACTGCTGATTGCAATACTATTGAGGTTGGAAACATGTGAATTTCTGTGCAGATGTTAAAGAAGATAACTAGTTTTTGCTTCGTGCGCCGTAGCCAGAGCAGAGTAAAATTGAGCTTACCATATCGCTCACAATATTCCAGTTTTAAAGAAGCATGTAAGAAGAGTTTTGTGAATGCTCTCTGTACTTGTTCCACTGCAATGCGGTCACGCTTTTTCGAGCTGCTATACACCAACGGGGGTTGAAAAACCGACTTGTAAGGATGAAGTATTGATTCATGTGGAGAAAAGTCCTGAATACCAATCCAATTTCCAATCTTGTTCTCGTGGTGGCATGTACAACATGCTATCCAGCGTGTAATGATTAGTACTAAACCATCTTCCTATCTGGATTCCGATGGTATCCCACCTGCCGTCATAAAACTGGGAGGGCTTGACAGGTCGTTACTATTGCTGAACACGTTTACCCTTTCGTTGGAATCAAGCTACTTTCCAGACCAGTGGAAAACATCGCTCATCATCTCCAGTCAACAAGGATGGCACCAAAGGACAAATTAAAACGCACCGGCTAATCCATTACACCCATGTAGTAGCCAGAATATTACAGAAACTGGTTAAGAATAGTGTGATGAAATGCATCAATTCGCTGGAGCTAACAGACAGATCACAGATTGGTTTCCTGGACAAACGATCGTTCATAACCTGCCAACGGCTGCTGAAAAAGATTGCTTCCTTTGGAATTCAGGACCCACTCTTAAGCTGGCTATTGTCATACCTGAGTGGGCGTTTGCATGTAGTTACCATAGCCGACCACCACTCTTCACCACATCCAATCACCAGTGGCGTTATGTAAGGGAGTGTACTTGGTCCGTTACTGTTCTTGATCTATGTCAATGACATCAGTGCGGCTATCAGACATGGCATGCCCTTCCTATTTGCAGATGACATAAAGATAGTCTACAAATTCCGACGAGCTGAACTTCAAAATACACTACTGCGCATACAGGAAGGTCTCCACTTCCTTGAGATGTGGTGTGACACCTGGATGATAAAGTTCTCAGCGAAAAATTCTAGCATCATATACCGCGGCTGTTCGATACCTGGTGGATCAATTTCAATCAACGACGAGCACCTTTGTGTACAGGTGTCTACTCGCGGCCTCAAAATCAGCTATTCTTGCACCTTCAACTTTTCTGAACAAATGGAATACCAGCTAGCTAAAGCCAGCAAATCAATAGCTAATATATTACATAAAATCCACATAACCCCAACCAGAGTAGAGCTCCTCACAATCTTCATTCGCCCTATTTTGGAATACTGCAGTATTATTTGTGGCAGCGTGAAGAAATCTGTCAGAGTGTCCTTAGAAAGTATACAAAGATCATATACCAAACGTCTGCAAGACCAAGCACCTACTAAGAACTATCGGGAGCGCTGCGATCCGCTTTGGCTACGAAGATTGGGACATAATCTGATGCTTCTGTACTACATGATTCATGAAAATGCCCACTGCTATTTGCCCTCCCTAGAATTACAACATAGTTCCACAATGAAGCTACGTAATAAGGAGTTTACCATGAGTGTAACTAGGTGCAAGATAAATCTGCGGTCTAACCTTTTCCTTAGCAGATATGCTGTCCTGTGGAATAAGTTCCCAGTCACAATCTGATCGTGTGAGAGCGTAACGGCCTTTTGCGTTAAGCTCATCAATTACCTACATTTGAAAACGATTATGACCCTGTTCTCTTGGGAGAGACCACTTGATGATTTTTACCAAGAAGGGCTGGACAACATCTAATGAGCGAAACAAAAAATTTCATACTATGTGACACACCCCTAGTGCGGTTACCATGCACTATTCCAACTAAGGTACATTGTGTTGAAACACACCTGTGAGTTAATACAAACCGTTGAAACAGCAAAAGCCATGAAAATCACCCATCTGTTTACCATTCCTGCATGAGCATGACGTATTAAGTAAAATATGATCTGTGCCAAATATGGCCACAGTTTCTCACTCAATGAGATACATAACTATAATTATTATAATATTCTACTTGTTCATGGAATTCAAATGAACATAAAGATCGCAGTTTGGACGTGTAAGCTGTGTGACCTTTGCGTCAATACTCGCGACCGAAGAACAGCTATTGTCTTTACAAATTTGTCAATATCTAACGAGTTATATATACGTTTAAACGAAGGTCCTGCTAAAGAGAAATTCCCATCGGAACCACAGAAAAAGTGAAAAATAATAAAAGAGACAGTTGATTGTTGTGTAGCAGACACCGGTATTGGTTACTTACTTTTCCACTGTGCATTAAATACTGGACGACACTGTAGAACAATAGAAACACACTGACGTCTGCTGCGAACCAGAACATCCAGCGTCTGCAACCATTAGTGATCACTGTTGCGCGTTCCCCTATCTAGAATGTAGACTGGTCAGACTGAGGGCAAACATGCGTTTATCTTCTTTATGCTCCTTATCTATGTTAGAGATAATCCACGGCGACAGTCATTCCAGTCGCTTTCGGGAAACACAAATAGCGTTCAACGGAAAAAACCATATACTTGTATACGCAATACATGGTGAAGCCATCGTGTGCGGTGTCGGCCTGCTCGCCACAAACACTCTTTCACGAACTTCCGTACTTCCTACTTGATGCCGCACGTAACATTTGTTAAAACTGACAGTCGTACAAGAGAAACTTAGGGACGAAGGCATTGTACACACAACCCTTGAGATGGAAACTGACATCGCGGTAACGCACTGGCACTCGTACGCTGAAGAAAAGCAGGCGGAACTTAGCAACCCATTATGACGTATCCACTCCAACAACAACCCTGCCCGTGGTCTTAAGGATAACTGTGGGCGCGGGTTCGAGCCCGCGTGGAGTCGGCTCGTGGACGATGGGTCTGCACGCCTGGTTTGCAACCATAAGGTCTCCGTTTCGAATCCCCGTAGGGTTGAGCGTCCTCACGGTATACTCCCCCTGTGCGCGACTGTTGGTGGTCGCGTGGCAGAGAAGCGCCATTATGGCGTACAGCTGGAGAATTTTAATTTTTAGGGACCGAGTGACCCCCACAGTAACCTGCGCGCGACTGGTGGTGGTTTTTGCGCAGCAATGAAGCCTCGGTACTTCGTACCGGCGTACTGCATATGCTTTATTTCTCTTAAGTGAGGTAATCGACTCGCTGCAACCTGTTGCCACTGTGGGCAAAAGTGTTTGGCAATCTTGTAGTAGTGTTTTACATTTATCTGGGGCGAAGTACTGGCCATACTTAGACGTCCCCAATGCTAAACGGTTCGACGCGCTTTGGATGGTTTATAGGTCGTCCCGAGGCATAGCGATATCACCGGCGTAATCCCAGTTCGCCACCTTGTCGCTAGGGTGTAGGTCAACCCCGCAGTCTGAACACTACTACTCGTCGAACAACATCCATGGTGAACATGAGGAAAGATGAACTAAAGCAACCTTGACGAATATGGCTGGTGATAACGAACTGTAATCTAGTTATATACGAGGTGTGATTGTATGGTTCCTTCAGGATAGTTACAAACTTGGCGAACACATCTTTCCTTAGGAAACTGCTCCGCAAAGCAGACCAATCTACTGAAACAAATACTGCCGGATCTCCAAGCATACTAAGATAGCTGGTCGTTAGTGGACGCAGCGGAATTCGAATTGTTTGAGTGGGCATCTTTGGACAACACAACCGCTGCCTCGATAAGTACCGGATTGATCACCTCTGGAAAGACCATATATCTACTCTCGAAAGCAATAAGGAGACAACATTTTTGGACGTACCGGAGAGCAACGAGATGCTACGCTAATTTGCGCAATGTTAGCTAGAGCATTTTGTGATGGGAGTATGTGGTCAGGCACAGGAGAGCGATTTACGTGACGAAGCAAGCAGTTAGATTGCCGTAAACGAACAGACCCAATGATCAAACCACTACGCGTCTCCTTATCTATGCACACGGGTTACTATTTGTCTGCGGTGGAGTGAGTTTGCTTAGCCGAAACGAGAGAATTATCTCATGAGTGCAGAAGATTCACTAGTTAGGAAAGCAAACTAGTTATTTACATCGACGCTTCTACAGGCTTGTTATGTCATCATTTGCCCTGAGCTTGCATTGTTAACTAAACCGTTTACTCCTTTATGACCAAGTTCGGCGAAGTGGTGTAAGAGAAAACCCATGCAGCGTCAGCGAACGGTGACCAGATACTGATTGGAGAGTAACCAGCTACGCAAAATCCAGCCGCATTAC